TTTTCAAAATTTGAATAGGTCCGTAATGTGAAATGTGACTTGTGTGCAAAATTTATGGTCAATCGGACGTGATTTGATAGGTTGCAGCGTTGTTTGTAGAATTTGGAAATTTCGAAATTTATTAGGCTTGAATCCGTGTGTAGTTAGTATTTTTGAGGTTGTTTGATGTGATTTGAGTCCTCGAGTAGGTCCGTGGTGTGTTTTAGGACTTTTTGGTTGAGGTCCTAGAGGCCTCGGGTGAGTTTCGGATGGTTAACAGATCAAATTCGGACTTAAGGAAATGCTGGAATTGGTGCCTACTGGTGTGATCGCACGTGCGAAGCTTTTGATCGTAGGTGCGAAGCCGCACGTGCGCGAGATCAGTTGCAGAAGCGAAAAAGAGTGGAACTGGGCAGTGCTCGCAGGTGCGAGAATTTGCCCGCATGTGCGAGGCCGCATGTGCGAAGGTTAATGCGCATCTGCACGCCTGTAGATGCAAGAAGGGCACCGTAGATGTGAGATTTTTGAAGGACGGCTGTTTTCGCAGGCGCGCATTTTTATCCGCAAAAGCAGATGCGCAAGTGCGAGCCTAGGCACCGCAGGTGCGGAAATGCCTGGGCAGTGTTAAAAATGATGGTTCTGAGATTTTTTCTCATTTTGGACATTTTGGAGCTCGGTTTGGGCGACTTTGGAGAGGAATTTTTTCACACAACTTGGGGTAAGTGGTCTTGGACTCCCTTGTGATAATATTACATGAATCTATCTTCATTTTTAGCAATTGGTTGATAAATTTAAAGAGAAAATTGGGGGTGTTGGCCTAAAAGTTCATAATACGATTTTTTGAGTTTTGAACATCGATTTGGAGTCGGAATTGAGTGAAATTAGTATGGTTAAACTTGTAATGGGATGTGTTGTTGTATTTTGTGAGTTTTATCGTATTTCGACATGGGCTCCACAGGTAATTTTTGGGGCGTAATTTCGATTTTTTGTAGAAAATATTAGTATTTTGATATGAAATTAATTCCTATAAATTGTGTGGACTGAATCAAATTAATTGTGACTAGGTTCGAGCCGTTCGGAAGTTGATACGCGCATAATGAAATTTTTGGAGCATTGTTTAGCTTGCTCGACATTGGATTTGGCTTGTTCGAGGTAAGTAACTCTTCTAATCTTTGAGCTGAGGGTATGAACCCTGAATATACGTATTATGTAAATTATTTAGAGGTGGCGCACATGCTAGGTGACGGGCGTGTGGGCGTGCACCATAGAAATTGTGATGTAATTGTTTCGTGGAATTTTGTAGTCAAATAATCTTGGCATTTTCCATGCAGTTTTATGTGTTAAAGAAATTGAGCTGAGAATCATATTAAAAATCATGTTAAGTCTATGTGCCAATATTTTTGGGACTCACAGAGGTCATATTGCTGTGAATTATTTGTTTTAAATTGAAAATTCATACTCATTCATATTCATTTCATTACATATCATATCTCAATCTCTGTCGTTATTTATTGATACATCATATCATCATTTTTGGGCTATTCTCATGACATTGTGAGCCCATGAGAGAGAGACTGGAGAGATTAATGACTGAGAGAGGCTGAGGGCCTGATTGTGAGGATATTTTTGGAATCGGACTGCACGCCGTAGCAGGCCATATTGGCTTTATATATATGATTACTATTATATGGATCGAGATTGCCCGCCTGCAGAACGCCTTATTGGCTTATTATGGCATGTGAGTTGTCCGTGCGGATTCTGATATGATATTATAGCACGTAAGTTGTTCGTGCAGATTATAGCGCTTGGGCTGTAGGAGCCCCTCCGGAGTCTGTACACACCCCCAGTGAGCGCAGGTACATATTGAGTGCGAGTGCCGAGTGCTGAGTGACTGGGAGGCATGAGAGATGGTGAGGTATGTCCGAGGGGCTGTTTACGAGTGATTGTGAGGTATGCCCGAGGGGTTGTTTACGAGTGATTGTGAGGTATTCCCGAGGGGCTATTTACGAGTGATTGTGAGGTAAGACCGATGAGATGTATACGAGTGATTATGAGGTTTTCCCGAGGGGCTGTTTATGATTTTATTATTTAGTTGCATCGCATTGGCATGCACACATGACATACAAGCATAGAGATGTATTTTCCTCATACTGTACTGCATTACATCATTCATGATTTCCACACATTTTTGACAGATGGGCATAGTGATGCATTTATTTTTACACGGGTTATCTAGAAGAAAAATGAAACATCTCATTTATTATTGAATGATTTTTTGGGAAAAATTATTGTTTTCAAACTTATTCATATTTTCGGCAACTTTGGTAAACGATTTGGATTTTCACTGATGTACTTGAAAGGAAGAACTATTATTTTGAAATAATGATTTTGCTGAGCATTTTATCTCTGAGTTACTTCTGGTATTATTTGCTTTATGTTGTTATGGATTGTTGTGGACTATTGGTTTTAGACCCGACCTTGGTGGAAGCTCGTCACTACTTTCAACCTAAGGCTAGGTTTGTTACTTACTCAGTACATGGGGTCGGTTTTACTGATACTACACTTCTGCACATTGCGTGCAGATATTGGCTGTTGTTGTTGCTGTGCTCGATGGTTGCCGGATTTGAATATGTACCTGCGTTCCTGTTGTAGCTGCCTCTTGTTCATGGTAGCCTTAGATTTATAAAAGCTCTGTTTATGTANTTGCCGGATTTGAATATGTACCTGCGTTCCTGTTGTAGCTGCCTCTTGTTCATGGTAGCCTTAGATTTTATAAAAGCTCTGTTTATGCACTATTCAAACAGACTATGTATTTATTTCATTTCCGCTTTGTAAACTCTATTCTTAGAAGCTCATAATTTGTACTACAAGTTCTTGGGTATTGTATAAGATTAAGACCTTTATGCACTTAAATTGCTTTAATAATTATTTTTGGAATTGGATAGTTGGCAATTGGCTTACCTAACGGGTTGGGTTAGGTGCCATCACGACTAGTTGGATTTTGGGTCGTGACACCCGGACTGGCTAGCTAATGTGGTAATAGTTCATAAGAAAAACAATAAATTTCGCATGTGCATAGATTATAAAGATCTTAATAAGGCATGCCCGAAGGACTCGTTCCCATTACCAAATATCGACCAAATGATCGATGCTACGGCCGGGCATGAGTTAATGAGTTTCCTCGATGCCTATTCCGGGTATAATCAGATTAAGATGAACCCGGAAGACCGGGAAAAGACTTCGTTTATTACAAATTTTGGTACTTATTGTTACAACGTAATGCCCTTCGGTCTAAAAAATGCCGGAGCCACTTATCAACGGCTCGTAAATAAGATGTTCGAAAAACAAATAGGAAAAACTATGGAAGTATATATAGACAATATGCTTGTTAAGTCTCTTGATGCAGGTAGCCACCTTAGACACCTGCAAAAAATGTTTGACACACCGAGGGAGCATAACATGAAGCTTAACCTAGAGAAGTGTGCGTTCAGGGTTGGTTTAGGTAAATTCTTAGGATTCCTAGTCTCACAAAAAGGAATCGAGGTGAATCCCGACAAAATCAAAGCCATAGAGGATATCCCGGATCAACTATTCAACGTAAAGGAAGTACAGAGACTCACATGCAGATTGGCGGCTCTGAGCAGATTCATTTCCCGATCATCGAAAAAGTGTCACCGCTTCTTCGCACTGCTCAAAAAGAAGAATAACTTCGAGTGGACGCCGGAATGTCGACAAGCCTTGAAGAAAATGAAGAAGTACTTGTCGAGCCCTCCTTTGCTCTCGAAGCCTAAAGAAGGAGAAACATTGTTAGTCTACCTGGCGGTCTCGGAAGTTGCGGTAAGTGCAGTCTTGGTCCGGGAGGAAAAAGGTACGCAATCCCCTACGTATTATGTTAGCAAAATTTTATCGGGAGCAGAAACTCGCTACCCATATCTGAAAAAATTGGCCTTAGCTCTCGTGGTAGCCGCCCGGAAATTGAGATCCTACTTCTAGTGCCGCCCGATAGCGATGGTGACTACTTTTCCTTTGAGGAATATCCTCCATAAACTCGAGCTCTCTGGTAGATTGGAAAAATAAGTCGTCCAAATGAGCGAATTTGATATAGAGTATAAGCCTTGGACTGCGATTAAATTGCAGGTCTTGGCTGACTTTGTAGCCGATTTCAGCCCAGGGTTGATGCCCCTGTCCTCCAAAGAGGCAATAATGGTGTAAGAGCCAACATCGGGAGTCTGGACCCTATTTATAGATGGAGCTTCAAATGTGAAAGGGTCCGGGCTCGGAATAGTTCTGGTCACGCCTTCGGGTGGAACCTTAGGGCAAGCCATCAGGATGGTTACTTTAACTAACAATGAAGCGGAATACGAAGCTTTGATTGCAGGGATCGAATTGGCATGTGGGCTCCACTCTGAAGCAATCAACATCAAATGTGACTCGTAACTGGTGGTAAATCAGGTCCACAGAATTTTTGATACCAAAGATGAGCGAATGCAATAGTACGTGGTAAAAGTTCAGGCCTTGTTGTCACAGTTCCGAGAGTGGTCAATAACCCACATTCCGAGGGAAGAAAATACGGAGGCAGATGCGCTAGCAAATCTAGGCTCATCAACAGAAATTCAGGGACCAGAATCGGGGGTAATAGTTCAACTAGTGAACTTAGCCTTAGACACGAAGGCTTACTATGAGATAAATTCGACCAACCTGGTCTGGGACTGGAGAAACGAGATACTCGATTATCTCGAACACAGGAAATTACCCAAAGACCCCAAGGCATCGAGAGCGTTGTGCACCAAAGTCGCGCGGTACAGCTTCGAGAATGGGCAGTTATACAGAAAATCATTCTAAGGCCCGCTGGCTCGATGCTTAGGAATGTCTGAAGCCAGCTACGTCATAAGATAAATCCACGAAGGAATATGTGGTAACCACTCGGGCGCAGATTCTTTGACGCTGAAGTTAGTCTGGGCGGAATACTATTGGCCCCATATGGATCTAGATGCCAGGGACTTTGTACGAAAATGTAACAAATGCCAAAGCCACGCACCTCTGGTACATCAACTAGCAAAACCATTATATTCAATTCTGCCTCTGTGGCCATTCATGAAATAGGGGATGGACATCGTCGGACCTCTGCCACCGTCTCCAAGAAAGGTAATTTTTTTTTAAATTTTGACTGATTATTTTTTCAAATGGATGAAAGCAGGTCCTTATCAAAAGATCGAAGAACGCGAAGTGGTTAACTTTTTGTGGGAGAATATAATATGCAGGTTTGGAATACCTAAGGAAATAGCATGCGACAACAAGCCACAGTTTATCGGCGCAAAGGTCACAAAATTCTTTGAAGATTTGAAGATAAAAAGGATTACCTCATCACTGTACCATCCAAGCGCAAACGGACAAGCAGACTCAACAAATAAAACAATTGTGCAAAATCTGAAGAAAAGGCTAGAAGCAACAAAAGGTCGTTGGCCCGAGGAATTACCGGGGGTACTCTGGGCCTATCGAACAACTGTCAAATCAAGCACAGGAGAAACTCTGTTTTCCCTCGTGTATGGCGCAGAATATTTGATACCAGTGGAAGTGGGGGAGCCCACTTTAAGGTATTCCCACACAAATGAAGAATCAAACAGCGAGGCAATGCTAATTAACTTAGAACTGCTCGAGGGACGCAGGGACCTGGCACATGTCAGAATGACAGCTCAAAAGCAAAGGATGGAGCGGTATTACAATCAAAGAACCAACCTTCGTTACTTCAAAGTAGGGGACTTGGTCTTGAGGAAGGTGACTCAAAACACCCGAGAACTCAACGCCGACAAATTAGCCTTTACATGGGAAGGCCCTTACCCGATTTCAGCTATCACCGGTAAAGGGTCATACGAGTTAGAAAACCATAACGGAGACAAGTTTTCCAACAACTGGAATGTGGACCACCTCAAAAAATATTACTGCTAACAAACAATATATAGACGGAAAGTATATGCTGCACTGTTTTATCCTTTGTTCTGCTTTTTATCCCAATTGGGTTTTTTTTCAGGCAAGGTTTTTTAGTGAGGTGGCGACCACAAGTATACTACAAAACAACAGTAATAAGACCTTTTGATGGAAAGTTTTCATTCGGGGATGATAGGGTAATCTTTGCTTCATTAGCAAATTCCCATCGGGAAGTTAAGTTTGATGCCGAACAAAGGGCGTACGATCATTCAGGAGCACAAAGCACTAGATGATTGTCAGGTATTCTTTCGCTCGACAACATGAATTCCTAAGGGGAAAGCAAAATATGTTACCGAGCGAAGAGTTACGTAGCAAATGATCCAGTTTACAAGAAAGGGATAATTATATGATTATGATTACAAGGCAACTCCGAATGCCACGTCAACCGGTCACGAAAATCCAGCAAGGCAACTCTGAATGCCACATCAACCAGGAACGAAAATCTAGCAAGGCAACTCTAAATGCCACATCAACCGGGAACAAAAATCTGGCAAGGCAACACTGAATGCCACGCATCATCGAGACCGGGAACTGCACAGCCAACCCCGAAGAAATAAGATAGCCATAAGTCATAGCAGCTTCTTTCCTACGTAGTAAAATGCCTATGTAAACTATGAAAACGGAAGGAGTGAAATGACATCCTTTTCCTTTTGTCTTGTTTCTTGTCTACACAATGAGCTAATTTTGTCATTTGAAAGTTAAACAAGTACTTCAAATATTAGTGCCGTAATGAAAAGAAGACGTCCTCTTCAAGAGCACCGTAAACATAAGAAGGCCCTCTCTTATTAAAACCCTTATGTTAAAGTGTTTGTTCCGTAAGAATATATGCTCGGAGTCGAAAATGCTATCGGGAAAAAATACACTCGAAGCCATATATGAAAAAGACGCAGAAACCAAGCTTGCGCAAATACTTATTGAAACCCTCATGAAAAAGGGATAATTCTCAGAGACAAAAAGTGCATCAAAGAAAATGCATCCGAGACCACATATAAATATATATATATATACACACACACACATACAGTTATGCAAGAAAAAGTAAGACTCAGTCAAATATTTGAGCAAAAATGTGTCTTCATTTACAGGAATTACCAAAAGAAATACAAATCAAGGAAAGAAAAAGCTAAGCTACAGCATCACCCGAATCAGGAGGAAAAGAAGTATCTATGTCCCTAGGAGTGGTGGACGGTTCAACCGATAACTCAACATCTTCCCCAGCTTGGTTCTCGGCATCATCGCCTTCCAATTCCTCTTCAGTATTCGAAATTTCGGAACCAGAATCAGAAGAACCTGGAGCGTCAGACCGCTCTGGGAGCCCATTTTTTGCAGCTAACTCAAGCTCACGTGCCTTGGCAATCTCGACATCAATATCAATAATGCCAGCTTTGGCGTCTTCCAAGGTTTTTCTCCTCATGTTGTACATGGCGTAAGTTTTCTCAACAACGAGGGAAGCCTCTCAGTGCTTGAGTTCTTCTTTGAGCTCGATGATCTCGGTAGAAAGATTGTCTCGGGTGGACCTAGCAGCTTGAAGACTAACATCTAGATCGTAGACAGTTGAGCTATAGAGCATGTTGTGCTCGATAGTCTTCTTATGCCTCTCCTCCAACTGGGCATGTCTTTCCCCCGCGACAGCAAGTTCTTTGGCCTTAGAATTCAAGACTGCTTCTAAATTAGTTATCTTTTCAGCAGCAACAACCTCACGATCATTGGCAGCAAGAATGGCAATTTGGACCTCAGCTGTCACGACCCAAAATCCCACCACAGGCGTCGTGATGGCACTTAGTCTCTAAGACTAGGTAAGCCGATTACAATTACAATTCAAGCCATTTTTTAAACATATAATTTAATACACATGTCGAAATCAACATCGGAAATAATTATAACACTCTCCCAAGACTTGTAATACTGAGTCACGAACTCTAACTGAATACATGCTATGATCTCAAAGATCGAATATACAATACTGTTCGAATAAGAGTTTACAGTACAATAAAATAGAAAGACTCCAAGGGACTGCGATGACCAAGCAACTCTACCTTGAATCCTTGCGATCAGCATACTAACTCTCCCCGAGTCTGATATCTCCAATACCTGGCTCTGCACAAAAATGTGCAGAAGTGTAGTATGAGTACACCACAGTCGGTACCCAGTAAGTATCAAGACTAACCTCGATGGAGTAGTGATGAGGTACAGTCAAGACACTCACTAGTCAAATAACCTGTGCAATATAGCAGTATACAATAGTACTGGAAAATAACTACCAATGATAACAATAAAATCAACCAGTGATATAACGACAAAGCAACAAGAACATCATAATTATTGCTCAGACGAATAAGGAATACAAGTACAACTAATTAATCAAGTCCTTCAAATATAAATTCTTCACATATTATTCTTTAGGATAAATATCTTTCGAATATATTTCTTTTGAATAAATATCTTTCGAATATACTTATTTCAAATAAATATATTTTCAAGTAAAAGTCACCATGTGACTCCTTATTTCACAATCATAAAAATTACGGGTCTCAACCCACTTTCTTATTTTCCATGGCACCTCGTGCCCATATTTCTATCACAATCATACGGACAACTCACGTGTCAATAATAAAATCATCATATTTTTCCCGGTATCTCATGTCCATATTTTTTTTCATAACCACACGGACAACTCACGTACTAAAATATCAATGTATATAAGATCTGCAGGATCAATTTATTTTTAATAAAGTAAGTTTATAATTTTTAAACCAAGTAAAAAATCATCAAAGAAATGAGTTTATTTTTGAACTCGTTTGGGTGAAGAAAATGACATTTCAATTAAAATGAAGCATCCGATGACTACTAATTTGGATGTAAAATTTATTAAATTAAAACATAATAGCAATTTCTTTTATTCGAAACAACTCAAATCTCGAAAACCAGTAAAAACTATAAACACAAATCCTCAGAGTCTTGTACAAAGAGCCAAAGCCAACACAATACAACAAGGAATACAAAACACATAATAAAATCAAATAATACATCACGGAAGAACACAAGAATTTATATATCACGGAAAACAACATAACCAAATACAAGTGCAACCATAGAAAACTATCAACAAAGGGCACTCTCGAGGTACCGCCTCGTAGTCCCAAATATAAATAAATTTGAACAACAAAAATGCCCCTGGCCATCACAAGTCATCACAAATCAATCCCCGACATAGCCCACCTTGTCTCGCCACGTGCGCAATAATAAAGTAAATACCAGCCTTGTCTCGCCGCACGCGCATAATAATATTCCTGTCTCGCCACATGCACAAATCCACATATATAGCCCGCCTTGTCACACCGCATGTGCATATATCAATAGTAATAATAGCACGGCAGAAACCTCGTGCAAACACCCGAACAATCCTCCCAACAATATAATTTGCACATATAAACCAAGTCGTACTCGTCACCTCGCGTACATGGTTTCAATTACACAATTTTCACATAAGACTCAATGCCAAAGGGGTAATTCCTCCACTCAAGGTTAGGCAAGATACTTACCTTTTTTGAAGTTATGCCGATATTCCAAATCTATCCAAATTAATTGTATAACTTCATTAAAATTCATCGGAAACAAATTTCGGATAATAAAACGCCGACTTAAAAATTTATTCTAAAAGGTCAACAAAAGTCAACGCGGGGCCCGTCTCTCGGAACCCGACATAATTTTCACGAAATTCGGTCGCCCATTCCGATACGAGTTCAACCATACCAATTTTATCAAATTCCAACAAAAAATCGTCCTCCAAATCTTGAATTTTTGTTTTTGGAAGATTTTTCAAAAATCTTGATTTCTTCCATTTAAATCCGAATTAAACGATGAATATAACCATTGATTTATGAAATATAATTACTTTAGGATATAGAACACATACCCCCGTCGAAGTCATAAAGAAATCCTCAAAATCGCCCAAAAACTGAGCTCCAAAAATCCTAATTGAAAATGAAGAAATGACAGATTTTCAATCCTTAAGTTTCTGCCCAGGTTCGCATTTGCGGACAAAAACTTCGCATTTGCGAATGAACAATACCTCCTATGAACAGTGTTCGCAATTGCGATAAATTGTTCGCAATTGTGAGTGAACAGTGTTTTCACAATTGCGAATGGACAATATTTTTGCAATTGCGATAAATGGTTCACAATTGCGAATGAACAGTACCTCACCAGAAACCAGCAAACTCAAACTTCTTCGAAATGATCCGAAGCCACCCTGAAACTCATCTGGAACCTCCCGGACACAAACTACATATGAATTTCAATCATAAAATAGGCTACGGACCTGCTCGCACACTCAAAATACTGAAAAGAGATCGTCTTGATCCGATATTTACCATGCTCAATCTCCCAAATTTCATAACTTTACTAGTCTCTCAACCAATAATCCAAAAATACACCCAAGCCCCTCGGGACCCGTCAAATCATACCAACAATTTCTAAAATATCATATGAACTTAGTCAAAACTTCAAATTATATCAAACAATGCTAGAACCACGAATCATACCCCAATTCAAGCTTAATAAAACTAAAAAATTCCAACTTCTACATCCAATGCCGAAACCTATCAAATCACGTCCGATTGACCTCAAATTTTGCACACAAGTCATAAATGACATAACAGACCTACAAAAATTTTCAGAACTGGATTCCGACCCCGATATCAAAAAGTCAACTCCCCGGTCAAACTTTTCCAAAATTCAATTTTCGTCATTTCAAGCCAAATTCCACTACGGACTTTCAAATAATTTTCCGGACACGCTCTTAAGTCCAAAATCACCATACGGAGCTATTGGAATCATCAAAACTCTATTCCGGAGGCGTTTGCTCAAAAGTCAACTCTCCAGTCAACTCTTTCCATTTAAGTTTCTAAATAAGAATTGTTCTTTTAATTTAATTCTGAATCTTCTGAAAATCAAACTCGACCATACCCACGGGTCATAATACATATTGTGAAACTTCTCAAGACCTTTAGTCGTTGAACGAGGCATTAATTCTTAAATAATAAGTCGGGTCGTTACATCAGCCCATTTAGCCTTGACTTCATCAAAGCCGACTCTCAGCGGCTCTAGTTCCTGGCTGAGGGTCACCACTTCTTGCTCACTTTGCTGCAAATGGGTTTCCAAAAGAATGGCCTCAGTGGCCTTGGTTTCCAGCTCCGAGAGGCGAAGAACAGTCCTGTAACGACCCGACTTG